AACTAAGATAATCCTTCATAACTGATTTAATTATTACTAAGTTTTAGTGAGAATGCTTCCTATTCCATAACTTGAGGGATACGAAAAAGAATTAGAGAGGGTTTACCAAGAATTTTGAAGTAAGTCAATTAGCTCTTACCTTGAACTTTATTTGCTAGCGGAAATTAAATGATTAACTTGTGGGGAAAAAGTAAAAAAATAAATAATGAAAGAAGAATTATTAAAAGCCTTAATTTTTGACTTGCTTTATAGTCGCTACTATGGAGTAATCATTTATGTGCGTATTTTCGAAGGAGAATTGACAAAAGGACAAAAAATTAAGTTTTATACTAATCAGCAAAAGATTTATCAAGTAGAAAGAGTAGGAGTAAAAACGCCCAAAGAGGTTTTGAAAGATAAATTAGTCGTGGGAGAAATTGGTTGATTTACGGCTAATATTCGCGATATGCGGGAGGTAAAAGTTGGCGATACTGCACTCGGTCTGAATAATAATTCTTCACCATTAGAAGGGTACCAAGAAGTAAAACCCAATGTTTACTCTAATTTATATCCTGGTGATAGTTCCCAGTATAAAGAGTTTAAAAAATCTTTGGAGGAATTACAAATACAAGATAGTAGTTTAAGTTTGGAAACGATTGACTCACAATTACTTGGTCCGGGTTTTCGCTGCGGTTTTTTAGGATTATTGCACCGAGAAATAATTTGTGAAAGATTGGAAAAAGAATTTAATTGTGAAATTATTACTACCCCACCTAGCATTAACTACCGGGTAATTTTCGCTAATGGTGAAATAATAGAAACCAACAATCCACAAAAAATCCCCACCAAGGACAAGATAAAAAATATTGAAGAATTGTTTATTTCTCTAAACATTGCTACTTCTGAGGAACATTTGGGGGCAATTTCTCAGTTATGTCAAAATAAACGGGGTATTTATCAGTCGCAAGAATGAAAAACTGGTTCCCTTTATCAACTAAACTACCATCTACCTTTTGCCGAATTTATTCTGGATTTTCACGATAAAATAAAATCTATTTCTCATGGCTATGCTTCTTTTAATTACCAAATAATTGGTTTTCAAACTAGCGAAATTGTTAAAATAGATATTTTGCTGAATAATCAGTTAATTCCCGACTTATCTTTTTTAGTTCATCGGAGTTTTGCTTATGAACGAGCTAAAACAACCTGCGAACAATTAAAATTAACCCTCAATCAGCAAACTTTTACCGTTCCTATTCAAGCTACCATCGGTAATCAAGTAATTGCTCGGGAAACTTTACCAGCTCTCAAAAAGCATGTAACAGGAAACATGTACGGAGGTGACAGAACCCGAAAAATGAAATTATGAGCCAAGCAAAAAAAAGGTAAAGCTCGCATGAAAGAAGTAGGAAAAGTTAGTTTTGGGGCTGGTAGTTTAAGGGAACTCTTGAAAGGGAGTAAGGAATAAACACTTTGCTTCCTTGACCAAAATTGCTTTCTTCTTTGTTTTTACTATTAGTGCTATTTGAAGATAAATAATTACATTATATGGTAAATGCACAACAATGACTAAATAAAGAGTATCCAAAAGGTGGTGCGTGCTGTGGAGAATTTGACCAAAAAAATAGTAACAAAAGGAGAGAAGAAATTACTGAATTAGATATTAGTAATAAAAATTTGGAGGGAATTTTAAGGCTAGAAGGATTTGAAAATTTGAGGAAATTTGATTGCTCTGAAAACAAATTAACAGGCTTGGAACTAGGTAATTTAAGTGAACTTATTTATCTAGATTGTGAAGATAATCAACTTGACAATTTAGAAATAAGCAGCAATACAAAATTAGTTGAAATTCTTTGTTCGGAAAATAAATTAACTAACTTGGAATTGAGTGGTTTGAGATGTTTAGAGGAGATCGAATGTTCTGGGAATTATTTAAATAACTTTAACTATTCAGTTTTGAGCCCTGATAAACTAACTTATCTAAATATTAGCGACAATAACCTCCCTGACCAAGATTTATCAGTCTTTAGTAAATTTGCAAATTTGGAAAATTTGTGGGTTGGCAATGGTGAAAAAGAAAGAATAATTGAAGGAATTTATAATCGTTTTTATGGTTCTTTAGAACCTTTGCAAAACAGTACTAAACTGAAGAGTCTCTATATTTCTAATACCGACATTGACTCCGGTTTAGAGTTCTTGCCTACAAAAAAAATAGAAACTTTTTGCTGTAGTAGCGAAAGAAAAGGAGCAAAAGTGAAAAAAATTAGAGAAAATTTAGCCTTGAACGAAGAAGTGGCAGAAAGCAGAGAAGCGATGGATAATAGTTATAAAGTTAGAAAAATTAAACATTTTCAATTGGCTCATAATAATCGCCAACAAAAAAAGATGCTACGCCAAGCAATAAGTAAAGTTAACCATGCTATAAAATCTACTTATTTGCAAGTTATCATTAATGTCGCAGATAAAATTTTTTTACAAACTATTGGGGGCGAATTAAATCTTTCTGACCGCTTTGTTATTGATAATAAAATAAATAGAGAATTAAGAAGAGTTGGACAAGAGTTAGTGATTAGCGATAGAGGAGAAGACCGAGGAGTGACTTGAGAAAAAATATATCACATTTGCTGTTTCCGAATTCAATCCAGATTAACTCAATTATCACTTAAGAAAATCCAGCAAAAAGAAATTGAGAGACAAATTATTGGCAAATGGACTGAGGAAAAGATAAAAGACGCTTTAAAAGGACTTTTAGAAGGAACAAGAAGAGAAATTCAATGTTTCGATGAAATTGAAAATGCCGAAATCGCTTTTTCTTCTGATGTTGGCATTGTATTTTCTTCTAGTGTTCCTGGCGAGACTTGGAATTTAGCCCGCGTCTGCCAATGTGTCTATCTTCCCAATATCAATAAAGCATTATCCAATCATATAGAATATCACCTTGCTAATTTAGGAGATATAGTAAAATTTAAAAAAAAATTAATTGAGTTAATTAATCAGTTTAAAGAAAATAATAAAAAAAGAAAGCGAGAAAATGATATTTTTGAAAAAGAGCAACAATCAGAAGCACGAATAATACAAGTTAATAAAAAAACAAAAATGTAATATTATAAAACTAATAATAATGGATATGACAGAAATAGCAAAAAAAAAAAAAAAAACAGTAAGAAGCAAATACGGGGAGGCATTTTAAAATTTGCTAAAAGTATTTTTCAAAAAGAATTCAGAGTAAATATTTTATAAAATTATGGCATTCAACCCAAGTAGTATAAATTTAGAAGTCCTTTTTAACAGCAAAGAAAAAGCAGAAAATTTTATTAAAAAGTTTGCTGATGGATATAAACAAATTATGAGTTATTACTTGAACTTGAAAGAAAATAGGTCTACTAAAAATCGGCTTAATTCACCCAATCCAATACAGAATTATTATGGTTTGAAACATCTTTATGAAAGTAAAATTATTCCTGATGTCGAGATACGAATTAGAAAAAAAATAGAAAGTAAAAATCCAGGTCTTTCGAAAGCACAAATTAATTTAATTTTTGGTCAGGAAAAGGGGACTAATATAGAGTTTTTGCGTAAAAATTTGGAATACACTAGGATTTCTGCGGCTTTTAATGCTATAAAACCAAATGGCGAATTAGAGAGCGATATTCCTAATGGTTTCGGAATAGGTAAGGCAACCTGTGGCACTTGTGGAAAGGACAAAGGGGATGAAGAAGAAGGTTGAAAATTAGCCGAACGAAAAGAAAGAGGAATTCCGAAAACATTTTTTTGCTCCCAAAGTTGTCTTGACAAGTTTGATTGAGATAGTTATAACTCTGACTCGGGAAGTCCTCCAAAAACTAACAATTGCTTTTTCTGCCGGCAGCAATATCGGTATGGAGTTTATTTTGAGGATAATCCGGGGATGGTTTTTTGCTCTGAAAAATGTGCTAGAATTTGAGAAAAGGAGATTCGAGATAAAAAAAATCTTGCTGATCAAAGAATTGATTTTATCAATGAAAGTCTAGAAAAATTGTCGGGTTGAAATTTACTCACCGCCGAGGAAAAAGAAAACTTTATTAAGCAGGTTAATAGTTCAGATCCTATGCAATTTAGAAATATTTTTAAGCAAGTTAAACAGTTATTAAATAGTAAGAAACGAAAATCAGAAGAAGACCAAACCAGTGGAAAAGGAGAAGAAAGTGGAAAAAATAATTCCAGCGATAATGACAACTCAAACACAGTAATTCCTGAATCTAACTCCAACAATAACTCACCTAACCTTCCCGAACCCCAAAATGACAACCAGCCAGTAACTAACAACTTACCCACCGATATTCAAGCAATTGCTAATCTTCCCCTCCCCCAAGCCCAAATCAAAGCCGAACAAGAAATTGAAAAATTACTAAAAGATAATGCTCTCTCTGATCAAGAATTAGACACCAAAAACTTGTTAGGTAAAAGTACTTGAAAAGACTATCTAAAACAATTAGATACTCCGCAAAAGGTGGCCGAATTTACCAATCAAATGCGGCAAGCCATTTTGAAAAAGGCTTTAACTAAGAAAAATTCAACCAAGGGAGAAGGAAAACCTCAGGATATGGGTTTAGTAAAACCAATCGCCATCTTAGTCCTTTTACTCTTAGTCCTAACCACCCTACTCATAATTGTTCGCAAGAGAAGAATGAGGAGGGTTTAATAATTTTCGTTTCTAGTTACTGTTATTATTTTTGTCAGAAAGCCACGAAAAAGAAAAACTCTTAAAGATACTTTTTAAATAAATCGCGCACCGTATCAGTGGGCTGGGCTCCGTGGGACAATCACTTTTCGATATTTTCCTTGTCTAATTTTATTTCTTTGCTACGCGGATTATAAAATCCTAAATACTCTAAATAATTACCGCTATTGCGGGCTCTTCTTTCGTCAATTGCGATTATTCAAAAAGAGCGTTGACCTTTTTTACCTTTGAGGCTTAAACGAATTTTGACCATTCTTTATATATTTATATTTTTACAATATCTTCCTTAACAATTAAATATCCAACTAGAAAAATTAGCTGATAAAGCCTATTTTCAAGATTTATACAAAATAAGAAAAATAACTAATTTGAAATACAACTCCAAGACAATACTAATAAACTTTCTTGTTCGAACTAAAATAACTTATAGATAACTTATATAGATTAAAAGCTATACTAAATGATTTAGAACAAAAACCAACCAGAATAGTTCTGATTCTACTCTAAGGCTAAACCACTTTAACTATTGGTTGTGGAGTAGCATGGTTATTTACCGTTCTTTTAATCTTAATTCTATTCATTAAAAAAAAATAGTTATGGTAAAATCGGAAGACATCAATCAAAAATACGAAAAAAATTTAGAAATAGTTGAAGAATTAAGAAAAGAAAGTAGAAGAAGCATGACTAGAGACTCAGTCATTAAATCAACAACTTGCAGAACTTCATAATTCTAAAATAAGGCGATTAATAACTTGAGATAGAGAAGGAAAAACAAATAGAAAGATAGTTGATTGTTTGACGACAATCAATGAACTAAATAATGAAATAAGTGAAATAATAAAAAAGAAAAGAAGCATTTCAGAAGAGATGAAAGAAAGCGAGGGCAAAGAAAAAGAAATAACTATTTCCTATCAAGATATTCATCCGGATTTTACACCAGAACTACAAAAAGAATGGGAAGAGAAAGGGTTTAGTAATGAAGAGTGCAAGGAATGAATAAATATTGGATTAACAGTAAACGACGTTGGTTACGCTTGATGATTAAGAGATGTTAAGAAAGTAGATGTCGAGTGGATTATAAACTATGGTAATCGCGGTGAATTATGAGAGCAATACGTAGAATATTTGGACAAAAAAGGTTATTTTGACAGTAGAAAATTAAGCAATAAAAATTTCTTTTTAGAGAAAAAAAATGCAATAAATGCTCAACAATGATTAGACACAAATTATCCTAAAGAGCAAAGGAAATCAATAAAAAAATTAGACATTAGTAAAGATGAAAGTACTCCCGAAGAAGAAAAACTAATTGGCTCTTTAAAATTAGAAGGATTTGATGAATTGGAAGAATTTTATTGTTATTATAACTCGCTTACTGATTTGAATATTTCAAATTGCCCCAAACTAAAAGTTGTAAACTGTTTTGAAAACAGATTAACTAATTTAAAGTTTAATAATTGCCCCAATATTACTGAATTAAAGTGCGGTATTAATTATCTTACTGACCTTGATTTCCTAAATGAACTGCAAAACGAGAAATTAGAAAAACTTTGAATTACTGATAACAATATTTCTTCGCAGGACTTATCAGCATTTGGTCATTTAATCAATTTAAAAAGTTTATGAATGAGCAATGGAGATGAAGAGAGGGTGAAAGAAGGAATTTATAATCGTTTTCATGGTTCCTTAAAGCCTTTGCAAAATTTAACCAAACTAGCAAGTTTAAACATTCATAACAATAACATTGATAAAGATTTTGAAAACTTGCCACTTAATATAGAAGATATTTGTTTTTCAGGATTTTGATTTAAAAAAGATTGGAAAGATATTCACAAGAACTTCACCAAAGATTTGGAAGCGGAATGAAGGAGATACCACTTTAATAAAAAAGAAACAAGAGAATGAATAGGAGCTGGATTACAACCTGATGAGGCTGCCTTTGCTAAGTTGATGAAAGTTGAAGGTAAAGATGCCAAATGATTTTCTGGTTACGGCAACAAGCAAGAGTTAAGGAAAGAATTTCAAAAAACAAAAATTAAAATTAATGCTCAAGATTATATTAATCAAAAGTATCCCACTTCTAAGGATAAATTTAATTGTCAAACGTTAGATATTCATGGTTATCATTGGCAACATAATCCGCAAGGAATGAAGGAAAAGTTAACTGGCTCTTTGTCTTTGCGGGGATTTGTTAATTTAAAACAATTAAATTGCCCCTTTAATCAGATAAGTAAGATAGATGTAAGTGACTGTCATCAATTGGAAATACTTATTTGCAATCATAATAGGTTAACTAAATTAGACTGCGCTGGCTTAGACAAGTTAAGGATGGTAATTTGTAGTAGCAACCTTTTGACCAGTTTAGATTATTCATTTTCAAACTCCGATAGATTGGTTCACTTATCTATCAGCAATAATAATTTTCCTAAACAGGACTTATCGGCTTTCAGCAAGTTCACTAATTTACAATTTTTGGGAATTGGCAATGATAATGAGATGCTTGATAATGATACTTATAATCGCTTTTTTGGCTCTTTGGAACATTTGAAAAACTTAAATGAGTTAGAATGCCTAGAAATCAATGATACTGATGTAGATTCTGGCTTAGAGTATTTAAGTGATAATGTTCAAACAATTTGTTGTCATTTTGGTTTTAGACCAGAAAGCAAAGTAAGAAAAATTGCTGAACAACTAGGTGCAAGTGATTTATTTTTTTTTGATGGCGAGTCGTATAATAAGAAATCGGGAAATATCTATCCAGAAGCAGTGGCGAATATTGGAGATATCACAAAAATTGGTCATGTGAGGAATCCCTTTCCGGATGAATTGGTTAATGAGCCAACTGCAATACAATGATTAGTTGAAAAAATATTAAATATTGAGGTGTCAAAAGAGAGCCTTATCGACAGTTATGGGTTATGTTGAGAATGCCAACTACCTAATACTGGAAATAATTGATGTCATTATTGCAATGCTCAGCATTTTCGAGATAACTTCAAGAATTGGACTAGTGGCAATCCAACCATTGATTTTATTATTCAATCGCAGCAGTTAAAAGCAGTCAATAATGGAAGAGTGCTAGAATGAATACCTTATGATAGATTAGAAATAGAAAAAGACGAAAATGGCAACAATAAAGTTTTGGGCGAAGGCGGTTTTAGTAAAATATATGAAGGTAAATGGATTGATGGACCTATCCTAAGTTGGGGATGAGATGGAAAAGGATGAGCTAGGTATAATGGAGACTGTGTGTTGAAGGAATTAAACAATTCGCAAAACATAACAACTGATTTTTTGCAGGAGATTGTTAATCATAAATTGTTTAATAACAGTAGTCAAATTGTCAAATGTTATGGAATCTCCCAAGAGCCTAATACTAAAAATTATCTAATAGTCATGGATTATTCCAATGCAGGAAATTTAAGACAATATTTGCAAAAAAATTATAGTTGATTAGGTATTCAAGATAAACTTGCTCAATTAGATTTTATTACATTTGCCTTGGATCAAATTCATAAGCAGGGATTAGTTCATAGAGATCTTCATCCTGGAAATATATTAAATGAGGATAGGTTCAATTTTTACACATGTCGGATTGCTGACTTAGGATTAGGCAGACCAGCTGACAGCGAAAATAATGGGGAAGTTTATGGAGTATTGCCTTATGTAGCACCAGAAGTTTTATGCGGAAAAGGTTATACCCAGGCTGCAGACATTTATTCTTTTGGTATGATCGCTTACAAGATATTGTTAGTATTCATAAGGGATTATAAAGGATAGATATTGCTAACTTATTATATTATTAATTTTAAAAAAGGAGTAAGTAGATAAGGGTTTTATTTAATAATTAATTCCGATTAGAAGTGCTTATTGGGTAAGGGGAGAATAAACTCCCCTTTTTTATTTAGGTGGGGTTTGGATTTGGGGTTGTTGCTGCTCTTGTTCCATTTGTAGTTTAGTTAATTCAATTTTAACTTGGCAAAGATTGTCTAGTTCGGTTTTAAATTCTTTATGACCATGTCTAAGAGCAATTTCCGATAATTTGTTTTGAAGAGAAATTAGTTTTTCTTGCCTCTCAGTTGTATTGCCTAAACGAATAATTCCTTCTTGAACATCTAAAAGATTGTCGAGAAGATGTTCTCGTTTCTCAGTTATTTTTTCTCTTTTTCCAGCAAGTAATTTTCTGCTTTTTAGTTTAACGTCAGCCGAGTTTTTTTGTTCTTTCAAACATTTTTCTTTGGCTTGGATTTGGTTTTTTAGACTTGTTTGTTTGGTCAAACTTTGTTCGCTTCTGTTTTCCTTACCGGTCAGTTTCTCTAATAGTCCAGTGAATTCTTTTTGTAAAAGATCACCATCTTCGGTAGCAAAAACTTCTTCCATCTTTTCCGCATATTGATTTGTTTCTTGTTGCAATTCTTTTGTGAACTCCTTAAAATGATTAGCCAATAACTCAATGGCTTGGTTCATTTCCTCAGAGGTTAGTTTTCCTCCTTTTTGCAACTTGCTTACCTCGAAAACACTATGTTGACTGAATTGACCTTGGTTGAGTTTAAGCAAAATGGTCAAGAAAGAATTTATTTTTCCCCCATTATTGTCTTGAGAATCAACTACTGATTGATAGGTTTTCTGTAATAAAAGTAGAGCCTTTTCATCTTCTATTAAATAGTTGCCAAACTCTTGAGAATAGGCTGTGAGTGAACGGCTTTTCAGTAGATTAGTAATTACTGGGATACCTTTGCTTAACACTTTGACAGCTGTACTACCACCAGGGACAATACTAGCAGCTATTTCTCCGGCACCGCCTATATAATTACCTACCAGAGCAATTTTATCATATCTTTTGCCAGATTTATTTGAACTTTCATAAGTTTCGATTAAACTGTTAATGGTATCCTGTCGGGTAGTAGCAAAGATTTGTTTGGCTCCTAAAAATAAGACCATTTTTTTTAATTTTTGGGGATCAGAAGAAGGTCCATCATTTAGTGCTAATTCTTGATATTTTTGTTTAAGTTCAGTGAGTTCTTGGTTGGCTAAGTTTTCATTATAGTGAATAGTAACTGATTGATGAATATAAGAGATAGAACTAGTATGCTTACCAATTGTTAACTGATTGGCATTATAAATATTAATAAATTGGTTCATCGGTTGTTCTCGATGAAATTTTGATTGCTCTTCAATTTTGTCTTTTTTTTCTTCTATTTTGCGGATTTTTTTATCTTTTTCTTCACTATCAGGCATTTGCGATAAGCGATCTTTTTTTTCAATTAATAATGACTTACTTTTATCTAGACTTGTTGTTATTTCTAAGTCTTGCTCAAATAATTTTCTGCAGTTAATCAAGACGCGTTGCACTTCATTCATTGTTTCTTCTCTCAATTTGTTTTCCAACTCTTTTTCAATTTCCTCATAACATTTCCTATATTCTTTAATTTTCCTATGATAATCGGGGGAATTAGTTCCTTGGTTTTCGAATTTAACAAATTCCAGATAAGCTTTAATTAATTTCCTTAACAACTCTTTTTCTGAACCAAAATTGTCCAGATAAGCTTTAATTTGTTCTGCTTGTTTTTTACTCAAATCAGTTAATTCTCACACTCGAAACTCTAAGCGACTAAATTCTCTTTCCAAGCTTAATGATATTTCCTCAGTGGTTCCATAATTACTGTGGGATAAATTTGAAGCAAATTTTTTTAAACTCTCGTGCCTCTTTTTTAAATTTAAACATTTTTTTACTAATCCTTGGAAGTCATTCTGCTTAGTTAGTTCAAATATTTCTCGGATATCTCTATCCTCTTTATAAGCCTTTCAATCGCCATTATAAGGTTCTAAAATTTCAATTAGTTTAGTATTACCATCAAGTTTTAATTCTTCTAATTTTTCTAAATCTTTTAGAAATTCTAAATTAGTTAAAAGATTTTTGCTAACATTTAAATTTCTTAGTTGAGGACAGTTTTTAACTACTAATTCAGTAAGACAGCAATTTCAGATAGTACACCTTTTTAATTGAGGCAAGTTTTTAAGGATTACTTTGTCTATGCTTTTATTATCTCGCAAGTTCAGGTTTTCTAATTCTGAATAATCTTCAATAATTAGTTGTCCTTGAAAATTTTGGTTACGTTTGATTTCTATTTCTTTTATTTCTTTATTATTATATGTATTGTTAAAGTCAATTTGATTTTTTACCATAGTATTATTGTAGTAATTATTTATTTAGGATTTATTTCAATAATGTTGGTTTGCAATTGCAATTCTTTCATTTTTTCAACTAATCTATCACAGTAAAGAATAATTTCATTTATGTCTTCTTCTAAAAGACCTTTTCCTTTTAATTTGTCTTCTAATTCTCAAGTTTCGGTTTCATCTTTTTTATCTTCTGCTACTTCTTTTCTAACTTTAATAAATTCCCTTACCAAATCTTTTTGCTCACCAGTAAGTGGCTGTTTGATTTTGTTTTCAATATTTTTTATTTCCAACTCCAAGGCTTGCTGTTGTTTTTCAAGATTTTGTAATAGTTGAACGATTTGTTTAGAATAAAAATTCTCATTAATTTCTTTACTATTTTGCGGCTGTGGTAAGTTCTTGAAATCTAATAAGCAGCTGGTATAAACTGCCGAAAGGTGAAACTCGTATTTAGTATCAGGGAAATGTTTAGGTAAAGTTTTATTATGTTCTTCTGCTTTTTCATATTGTCGATAAATTTCTGAATTTTCATCAAAACTAGTAGTTTGATGCTTACTTCCACCTTTATTTCCTATATTAATCCAATTTCCTAAAATATCGTCTAATTCGCTGGCTTTTGGTCGCTGCAAAGGATCAGCATCTCAACAACTATTGATTAAAGTTTCCACTAATTGTGGAATTTTAATTTGAAACTGTGGTCGTAGTCCTTCACATATTTTTATGGCTAAGTATTTATTGTGAGGCATGTCATAATAAGGAGGCAAACCAGAAAATATTTCATAAGCCACTATCCCAAAAGAATAAATATCTGCGGCTTGGGCATAAGGTTTGCCATTTAAAACTTCTGGTGCTACATAGGGTAATACTCCGTAAACTTTCCCATCATCTGCTTCATTAACTGGTTTGCTTAATCCTAAATCAGTTATAAAACAACTATAACCAAGAGGAAAAAATTCAATGTTTAGTATATTACCCGAATGTAAGTCTCGGTGGATTAGCCCTTGCTTGTGAATAGCTTTTAATCCTCTTGTGATACACTTTAGTTTATTAACTTTGTCACAAAATGTTAATTCATTATAATTATCCTGCAAAAATTGTCGCAGGTTACCTCCACGCATTTGTTCCATCACCATCACATAATTTTTAGTTACCGGGTCTTGGGAAATACCATAGCAATTTACGATATTATCAGAACCGATCTTAAACAATTTATGGTTAGTAATTTCTTGTAAAAAACCAGTGGTTATGTCTTGGGAATTATTTAGAACCTTTAAGACAACACGCTTAGAATAATTACCACCCGTCCAAAAAGTATCTGCAATACTTTTGCCGTATTCTTTACTTCCTCAACCTCGTTTTTCTTTTTCATACGAACTTTTAATAGCTTTTGTTCCGTATTTGTACTCAATCAATTCTGCTTTATATACTTTACCAAACCCACCCTCGGCTAAATGTTTAACATTGATAAACTGTTCATAAGGTATTCATTCTAGTACTCCTTCACCATCAGCTGCCTTTAGTTGATGTTCTTGGATAAAATTGTCAATTACCGAATTTCCGCTTGAGTCACAATTACGACACCAATCATATCCAGCGTTAATTTGATAACATCTTTTACATAATCGAAACTTATTATACCTCTCCTTTAACTCTTTAATTTCTTTCTCATTATGACTAAATTCTCAATCTTTTCATTGTCGTAAAGTTCTTCAACCCACTTCACGGTACCTTTTTTTTATTTCCTCATCATCCAGTCATTCGTCGGGGGGAAAAACAGTGTTATTTTTTTCCAAATATCGGGCATATCCAGCATCATCTACATTTAATCAAATATTTATTCATTCTTTACACTCATTATAACTAAACCCTTTTTCTTCTAATTCTTTTTGTAATTCTGCGGTAAAATATATGTCTATGTTTTTTCAATCTATCTTATTACTACTATTTCTTTCTTTTATTTTCCTAACTTGCTCACCAATTTTTACCTTATCCCGCCAATAACTCCTTTCCTTTTGCGAATCCATCTCCCCAACACCCTTTTTTAACAACTCCGGCTTCTCACTCAGTAATCTAGTAAATCCTAACAAATAAACCCCACAATCATCAGCATTGGGCTGTAGAGGTCTATTATTGACATCCTCAAACCCAGCTCCTTTATGCTGACATAGATGATTAACAACATCTTTAACATATTGTTCATTTAGTTTCTGTTTTGAACTGTCAAAGTGATAGAATTTATTAGCCTTTACTTCATAAACTAATAAACTTCAATGGGTATCAGGATTATTAACCGGAATAAAAACTAATTCTTTATCAGTATCGGCTAACTGACTAAATAAGCGAGCCATGGCATCAAGGTCAATTCCGGCTTTTACTAACGGTCAGTCATAAACTGACACAAAGCCATGCTTTTTAGGAGATTCTTTTTTAATTTCTTCAAGAGCTCATTTAATTTCTTTATCGTTTAGTCATTTATGGGGGGTAAAAGTTATATCAGTTAGATCTTGCTGTTCTTTGGTTTCTTCTTGTGATTTAGGCATATTTTTATTGAAATTTATGTTATTTATGTTAAAAAATTATTCTTCACAATCACTACTAAGACAATTAAGTCTATTCATAACAAATTAGGTAGCGCTTGATTTTATAATTATCCTAATTTACTATTTTTACCGTTCTGACCATAGGCATATTATTTTCTTTTTCTCTGGTGATTTCTCGCCAGGATGAAGATTAAAAGTAAAGTGAACAAGCCAATTACTCCACAACCAATAGCCAGAACAGTTTTATCACTTGGTTGAGTGTTATTAGTATTAGCACTATCCTGTTTTTTCAATAATTTATCTAATTCTTTCTTTTTACTAGTTAAAAATGTTTCTTCCGCCTGAGTTCTAATAGATTTATTTTCTAATTCCTTAATTTCTCTTTCTAAAATACTAATCTGAGTAGTTAGTGGTAAAGAAGCGCTTAGTTGTTTTTCCTGGTCTTGTAATTCTCTTAACTTTTTCTTCTTAGCCTCTAATTCAGTTTGGTTTGGAGTGGGATTTTGCTCTAAGGTTGTGATTTCAGTAAGTAATTGTGCTTGTTGAGAGTGGTTTTGCTCTCTCTCTCTCTCTCTCTCTCTCTCTCTCTCTCTCTCTTGTAATTATTATCTTTCTTATAATTTAACAAAAGTATACAATTTGGCTTTTGGAAAAATCCCGAAGTAGACACTAAAGAAAACAAAAATGTTTATGCCGTTGATAAATTTTATTATAAGGGGAAGATTGAGTTTATAAAGGTTGGGAAAGAAAAGGAGCAAGATATCAGAAATTTCCGCATGTCAGACTTTTATGTTTTTTCTGTTTCAAAAGAACAGATAGAAGTCCAAAAATGAACTCAGTCCAGAAAAACTTATAATGCTCTTTCATTCGGAAACAATGTTGTTGTTAGTAAACTAACAGAAGAAGAGAACGGCAAAATTTTCTTTGGTTATGATTGATGCTGTTGTCCTTCTTCTTTCGGTAATGTACTTGCTTTCAAAGAAGTAAAAGGGGTAATAAAAATAGCAGGAGAGGAGGAAGAGTGGATTTTTCCTCGAGATATTAAGGAAATTAAAATTTCATTTCCAAACCATGAAGAAGCAGAAAATAAATGAAGAGAGTTTCGAGAAAAAAAATATTGTGCTGTTGAAGGAATTAATTGGAAAAAAGTGTGAATAGGTTCTAACAATTTGGAAATAGGAGAGTTCAGTCATATAGGAGAAGCATTTGCAGAGGCCGAAGAAAGAAATAACGCCAAAATTCCACAAGAGCCAGACAACAACAGAAACACAAACACCACGGAAACAGAAGAAACCAGAGATACACTGGAACCAGAAATGACGAATATACCAGAACCGCAAACAACCGAAACGCCAGAGCAAAACACAACGCCTCCTCCTGAAACCGTTAGTGTTTATGACTATTTCGAAACAAAATTGGCAGATGAAGACCGAAATTTGTGAATTTTAGTTAACCAGTATGCTACTGGCACCAGCAAGGAGGAAAAAAAGATGTTTTTCTTGTCGTTAATAAGAATTGGACTTGTAAATGAAGACCATGTAGACAGCCAGCGGAAGTTCATTAAATATGGTTTTCTTAAAAGTAAACTTGAAGAAATTTATCCGCAAAATCAAGATTCCCAAAATGACAATCCCTCCCCTAATGGAGATGGGCTTTCTCAGACTAGAAAAAATGCTATTCAAACCATTACCGCTGCTCTAAATCTAGAACCCGCAGTAAGGGAAAACGAGTTAAGTTCTGAATTTCATGACTGAAAAGAAAAAATAAATAACTTGGATAAGGATGAAATTATTAATGATTTTGCAAAAAAAATGTTGTCGGCTATTGGGAGCAAACGAAGAGAGAAGCAGACCAGTCAAAAAGTAAACGATAATGTAAATGATATGAAAAATAAAACTGGTGAGCAGTTAAATGAGAAAATAAAAGAAAATGATGAAGCATCCGATACCAAAGCCTACCAGGAAAAGAAAGAGGAAATTGAAACTCAAAAAAAACGGTCTGCTTTGGAAAGTCCTGACAAATATCTTCGGAATGTTGCTATTCCAGGAATTGAAAACTTAATGACAAAAAACGATATTAAAGAAGACGAGTTAGATGATGACACAAAAAAAGATTGAGAAAAATTGAAAAATGGGGAAATTCAGGGTGAAGAGATAGTGGAAAAGGAAGCCAAAATTAAACAATCCATTGGCCAGCAAGGAGCCGAAAAAAGAGTTAATTTTTTTAGAAATGAAGTAGAAGCAGTTTTAAAATCAAGTAAAAAAGAAAGAATAGCAAAATTGAAAATGCAAATGATAGAGTTTATTAATGCTGATAATATTTTCTATACGAAACAAAAAAACCAGGTTCAACAATTACTATCAAGATTAGATAATTATAGTAATAAGCAGCAGAACAACAATTCACCAGAAGAATTTCCTTGAAAAGTGGTTGTTCCTGTTTCGTTGTTAGCAGTAATGTTGACAATAACTGCTTTGGTAGTAATTAGAAAGAGAAAAAGATTTAGCCAAACCACAAAAACAAAGACCAAATCAACCAACTAATACGGAAAAAGATAACAATAAACTCAATTGAGCCATTGGCTTGGGAATTGCTGCTCTCGTGATTGGTTTATTGCGTTTTGTTCTTTTATTTTTCCCCAAAGAACTGCGTTTAGTAGGTCAGTAGCGTCTAGGAGTAGTCAGCAGAGAAACAATGGTAAAAGCCAAACTAGCCTGAAAAATTGCTTTTGACACCGAAGAATGATAATATTAAACTTTCATTATCAAAATAAAAATTAATGACTAAATTTACCATTTTAGCGGAAATTATTTCCCAGCGCAAAGCCATTCGCAATTACACTTCCATAAAAATCTCTACTTCTCTTATCAAAAAAATAACCCAAATTGCCACCCGCGCCCCTTCCTGATACGGCCTTGAACCCTGGTTTATCTTAATTATTGAAAATAAAAAAATTAAAGAAGAATTATATCCTTTTATTAACCAACAAGAACAAATATTAAACTGTTCGCACTTGTTTTTACTGTTGAGTTATCGCGGGGAAGCCTTCAATTGAGAAACCGAACTATTCAAAGAAAAAGTATTATGAAAATATGACCGCTTAACTCCGGACAATTATTCTGATTTTGTGCATGAAAATTTAAAAAAATTTGCTCCGAACAACTATCAATGAATTAGTAATTGAGCCCAACAGCAATGTTTTATCCTTTTACCAAATTTTTTATTGCTTTTTACTAGTTTAAATATCGCAACCTGCCCGATGGGCGGCTTCCAAAAAGAAAAAGTTTTAGAATATTTAGAAAAACAAGAAATCATTCCCATTGGTTATTTTAATTTGACCGTGATATTTACCGCCGGTTTCGTTAGCAGCGAAAAAGAATGAAAAAAGAAAATTAAGAAAAGAGAATGGAAAAAATTATATAAAGTTGTATAATACTTTCTTTATTTTCAATATAAACTGTGAATAAAATATTATTTTTTGTTTAATTTCTCCTTTTTGCGAACTCCTTCTTTACTACACCCAAAGCCAAATCGTTTACTTTGGTAAAACCAATAAATCTTTCGACTTTATCCAAGCTTTGAGCCCGAATATTATTATCATACAAGTGTAATAATTTAATTCAAAAAGACCGCCATCAAGCGAAATATAATTGATATCACGAAAATCATTATTAGATAAATCTAATTCTCCTATTTCTTTACTCAAATCATAATCAGCCGTTAAAATTTATGAATTGAACAAATTCTACGCTAGTTAGTTTATTTCAGGGCAGGAAAATAATTTACAGTTTGAGAAAATTTTTGTTTTTGAGGAACCCTCTAATTTCTCGTTTCCATTAATTCCGAGGTAACTAATACCGAGAAATTTTTTCCTTTCCGGAACACCTTTATAATCTGAAAGTTCGTATTGTTCTGTCAGTTAAATTTGAACTTTTACTATATATAGTCTTTATAAGCTTAAACCTTCACCTTGACCTTTTGAGCTCGCTGACGAAACTTTTCGACCGCCCCCACACTTATTTCACTAGCCAAAGCGCCGGTATAAAAAGGACTACAATTGCTACAACTACTATTGGAGATATTTTGGGAGGAAGTAGAGACTGTTTGATACTGCTGACTACAATACGAGCAAGTAATAATTATTTGATGGATTGGTAAATGAATTTTTTTTTTCATGATACTTTAACTTATTTTTAGAATATATCTATTTGTTCACGAACCTTCTTTTCTTGTTTTCGTTCACCTTTTATTCAGTATCAAAGCTTTTTTCGAAATATAATTCCTAATGTAATAATTACTAAAAATATAATAAAAAAAATAATTCAACCATTAGCTAATTGGGAGGGGGTTTTCTCATCCTGATATTTAACGTTATGAAGAATATCGAAATCAACTTGCTTGACTAGTCCATATTGAGGTTTGATTTCCACTCGCTCTCAAGAAAATTGCCTATCTTCACTAGTATCTCCTCGATAAATATTTACTTTATAATCTCCCTTTCCGTCGTCCAAAATAGTATATTTCATATCTTCTGTCTCTGCCATGTCCTGCTTTTTATCAATATCACTACCAAACTTCTGTTTTAACAAATTTTTGTGGGCTTGTTTTTTGGCTTTCTCAAACTCGTCTCTTTTTTTTACTGTTATGCTTCGTTCATCCCTGTCTATTTCTCAATAATCATCGGCTTTTTTGAAAATATATTCAATCTCGCTTGCACTAGTGTCCGCATAATTAACAACCCCTCACTGAAATTTCATAGTTATCAACACTTTATGTTCACCTAGTTTGATGTCCAAGTAGCGTTTTATTTTGTCGCCGTTTTTATCTACCACTCTTACTTCTAATTCAGCTTCGGTTTCTCCTTTAATCTTAACTTGATTACCATCGGCTTCAATTTCAGTATCATTGAGAGTAGATCAGTGAATTCTTTTCATTTTTTTTAAATAATACTTATTTATTTCTTTTTCTTTTGAAAATACATATTTTTTTTGTACTTTTTTAGCGTAAAAGAAGCAGCTTTTTTGAAAATAAGAAACGACAATTCCTTTTTATTTTTATCATTAATTTTTATTTTTATCATTAATTTAGTTTTAAAGTTAATGGCGGTTCTGACGAGAATCAAACTCGCGATCTCCTCCGTGACAGGGAGGCGTGTTAATCACTACACTACAGAACCGCTGGTCATGGTACCCAAAGCCGGACTCGAACCGGCACGAGGAAACCCTCATGGGATCTTAAGCCCCACGTGTCTAGCCATTCCACCATTTGGGCATAACTTGGCAGAGGCGGCAGGACTTGAACCCACAACAGTCGGATCTGAAGGCCGACGTTCTACCAATTGAACTACGCCTCCCTGTAATTTATAGAGATCAATTGATATTTACTAGCAAAATTCCTTTTCTGGTGACCCGTACGGGATTCAAACCCGTGCTCTTCTCCGTGAAAGGGAGACGTGTTATCGCTGCACCAACGGGCCCTACTCAACCACCAAAAATTCCCTTAACTGGGGGACACTCAAACTACCACCACTTTTTTTCAACATTTTTCCTTCCCGAAAAAGAAAGAGAACAGGCACTGAACAAACATTAAACTCTGGCCTTCGGGCTAACTCAGGAAATTTTTCAGCATCTATTTCCAACACCACTAAATCGTTTTCCTTTTCCTTCATCCGCTCCAACTCGGCCAATAACTTTCTAATGCTTTCTTGTAAAGTTTTGCAAGGTCCGCACCAGTCAGTAAAGAACTTTACTAATACAGTTTTGTCTTGATTATTTTGGAGGAAAGAATCAAAACTTTCCCCCGCTACTAATCTTTTTAACATAACACAATAAAAAAGGAGAGCATGCGCTCCCAATTTTACAAACTTTCTTCCTCTTTATCTTCCTTTTTGCTAGAAGAAATTCATCATCAA